CCGTTGGATCCAGTTTTGGGTCCCAGCTGCAGAAAGGAGCTGGAGAAATTGGAGAAGGGCTGCCGAGATGGGCTGAGGTCAAGGGCAGAGGGTCCTCAAGGAGAAGGCAGGGAACCTGGTCCGCTTTGACCAGCAAAGGTTGGGGCTTGGGAGGTTCAGGCTGGGTGGGAGGAGCAGTTGTTTCCCCAGGAGGGTGGTGCAGCCCCGGGACAGGTCACCAGAGAGGGTGATCTCCCTCGCTGCGGCTTTTTGGGACTCAGGTAGGCCAAGGCAGGGCTGCCCTGAGCTGGCGCTGGGGACAGCCCTGCTCCGCACGAGCGGCTGGCCCGGAGCCCCCAGAGGCCCCTCCACCGGGGGAGGCTGTGATTTATGCACAACTCATTTTTTCCCAACAGATATTGAAGCTGTTGTTGCTATCCTTTTCTTTTTTTTTTCATTTCAAGCTTTACTTCCCTTTTCATTCTATGCTAAATTCCTGGTTGGTTTATTGTTAGAGGTTGGCAATAAGTGGGCCTAGGAAAGCTCCTCTTTCCTTCAGCTACAATCTACTTTTTCCTACAGTATTTAATTCACTAGTTAGCTTCTGCACCTGCAGAAAGGACAAATGGCTGTTCCCTTCAGCCCCATATGCAGCTGCAGGATTGTCTTTGCATACAATGGATTTGCTCTTCCTATAGCTGATATTAACTCCCCCTTGAGCTCATCTTCCTTTCTGCTGTGTTATTGAGTCCGGCACGAGGGACTCCAGAAGGGAGGGCAAACCTTTGCAAAAATAGTGATACCTACAGCTGCTGATCCATGCCCGAAAACCAGACATGTGTGTGTGTGAGGAGGTGGTTTGGCATGAAAACTAATCTCTGCCATTGAAAGAGGTGGTCCCACTCTGACCTTTACAGCTGCCACTTCTCCCACTGCTTCTTGCATCAGATTTAGTGGTCATGCAGCTGCAGGGTAAGTCAACTTCATGAGCTGATCTTGTTAGAAAACAGCAGCAAAAAAAAAGGAAAAGATAATGCTCCATTGACTGCACCAGCCCTGGTCCCGCTGCACCATGAAGCCAGCAGATACGAGTATGCTGGCATATTCAAAGATGAGACTATTAAGGCTGGACCAAATGAGAATATAGGACACTTTAGTTGGAGATAATTGATTAGGAGCAGGATTATGAATGCAGATCTGGGTGCTGGATCTCAAGCCTTCCCACACGTAAAGGTCCCTCTAAAGGAAGGTGAGGTGGTGGAGTTGCTCTTTATGTGAGGGAGCAACTAGAATGTGTGGAGCTCTGCCTCGGGGTGGATGAAGAGCAAGTGGAGAGCCTATGGGCAAGGATTAAAGGGCAGGCTAACATGGGCGACACTGTTGTGGGGGTTTACTACAGGCCACCTGATCAGGAGGAAGTTGTCGATGAGGCCTTCTACAGACAGCTGGAAGTAGCCTCACAATCACAGGCCCTGGTTCTCATGGGGGACTTCAACCACCCTGACCTCTGCTGGGAAGACAGCACAGCTAGGCACAAACAGTCAAAGAGGTTCCTGCAGAGCATTGATGATAATTTCTTGACCCAGGTGGTGGAGATGCCAATGAGGAGAGGTGCAATGCTAGACCTTGTACTAACGAACAAAGAAGGTCTAGTTGGAGATGTGAAGGTTGGGGGCAGCCTTGGCTGCAGTGACCATGAGATGGTGGAGTTCAGGATCCTACGAGGAGGGAGCAGGGCAATGAGTAGGATTGCAA